ATAAGAAGAGCTGGGAGATTATCATATCATACAGACACAGACAACAGATAAGAAATGCTGGGAGATTTTCATATTATACAGACACACAAAACAGATAAAAGCTGGGAGATTATCATATTACACAAACATGTGACAGAAATGGGGAACTGTAAGATTATTATATTATACAGGAACACACAACAAAGAGCTTGGAGATTATCATATTACATGGATATACATAGACACAAGAATAGCTGGGAGGTGTTATCATATTACATGAACACACAACAGATAAGAATAGCTTGGAGGCTATCATATTAGATGAACACACAACAGATAAGAAAGTCCGAGATTATCATGTTACATGGATACACAAGGACACAAGAGTTGGGAGGTTATCATATTACATGAACACACAACAGATAAGGAAGTCTGTGAGATTATCATGTTACATGGATACACAACAGATAAGAATAGCTGGGAGATTATCATATTACACGGACGCATAAGAATTGGTGTAAGATCATCATATTACACAGACACACCACAGATACAAACTGTGAGATTATCACAGCACATGGACATACATGATAAATAACAAAACTGGTTCCTCGTTGTCTGTATATTATGTTATTCTGTAAGTTACAGTGAAATATGTTTGTTTTATATCACAGCAGTCTTACCAGCTTCTCACTTCCAACTTTCAGTCACACTTCTATCACCTCAAAGTTTTAATCATCTTACAAGTTGCTTGAATAATTTAAAATAATTTAATTTAAATTCAATCATTTCATTAATTGTTCTTTCTTACATGAAAACACACTGACAACATTACCATAATGACATCTTTAATTAAGTCTAAGATTTTTACTAATACTACATTGAAGAATGCTATTTACTTTTTATCACTATGCACAGTAATGCTTAGTATGTAGAGATAGGCCATGAAAAACAATGGCCAACACATATTATGTATTGCTCATCATAGACTCAAATCTCTCTTTTAAGAATCTAAGATAAATACCTAACATAGGTTTCCAACAGCTAGTAAGACTGTTAATTTAGCAAAAAAACATCACTAAGTTAGAGAACCAGTGAGTAGCATAAGAGCCAAATGTTCTGCTGGTTCTGGCATCAGAAGAGTTAGCTCACCAATGTTTGAAATTGTTGCGATAATTTACAGACCAAAATATTGCATTTTAACATGGGGAGTGCAGAAGCAGTATAGCATTTCACTAGCTTCAACACATGATGTCCATCAAGACAACTCATCATGACAAGCTAAAAGTGCTGCCTTCATAGTGACTGCCGTTCATTATAAAATATTCATTGATATTGTTAAAAAAAAAAGAAGAAAAAAAAAAAGAGCAGAAACAAGTAATAAAAAAATTCAGTATTATGTAGGGATATTTTGCCAAAAAGTACAGAAACAAAGTAGGGATGAATACACAAAACCATACAAAAACCTACACAAGTAGACAGAGTCAATGTTACAAGGTACACTAAAATTACCCCATCATCTGTTGTTACAAGGTACACTAAAATTACCCCATCATCTGTTGTTACAATGCACACTAAAATGGTGCCATCATCTGCTGTTACAAGGTACACTAAAATTACCCCATCATCTGTTGTTACAAGGTACACTAAAATTACCCCATCATCTATTATTACAAGGTACACTAAATTTACCCCATCATCTGCTGTTACAAGGTACACTAAAATTACCCCATCATCTGTTGTTACAAGGTACACTAAAATTACCCCCATCATCCATTATTACACGGTAAACTAAAATTACCCCATCATCCTTGTTAAGAACTGCACCAAAAATTACTCATTTATTAATACAGGAAAGTCTTAAAATGAACAAAAACCAACTTAATGCAACAGTTAAAATATTTAATTCTTCATATCCATTATTAACAATCAATTTAACAATAATTTGTATAATCTAGACAATACTTTTAAAATTGAAAAATCTTCTTTAGTAGCAATAAGAAGACAACATACATATATATTTTTGGTATTTCAGTTTACAATAAACCAACATGTTGAAGTTTTCATCATAATAAATATCTCAAAAAGTTGTTAAGCCTAATCTATTTTTCAATTCACCACTTCTCATAAGTTATACTGATTTCAGGTAACCCCAATCCTCCATCAGTAATCCTGGACAAAGGTAAATTGAAAGAATAAGACTATGCTTCAAATAGTGGTGAAGTTTATACATATAACAAGTTTCTAAGTTCCTCAAAATTGTTCTTAAAATATTAACAAGAAATCTCTAACTCAACAGCAGCAGAAATAGTAGGAATTTTTAGGAATCATATCCTAAACTTAGTTTGTTTTTTTTTTCTTCTGAAAAATCTACACCATTATGCATTATTTTATAAGGAATCCAGAGGTGTACACCAATATATAATTAGATATCCAAATAAGTTATGACTGTTTTTTTGTCAGTAGAGTTGAGTGTTTTTTACCCTAATTCAGATAACCGTCATGGCATTGTTTTACTATATTACCCATGGAACACTCACCATTTACAAATGTTTGTGAAACCTGTGAGGAAATGCTGAGACAAGAGCTAGAATCTCCAAGTGTTTGTTTTTGATGAGATGGAAATGTGATCAGTTTCAAATCTAATCTCCAAACATAAAGCAGCAAAATGTCCAAGATATTACAAGTGTAGCACTTGTGTATGCAATCATGATGACACATCAGTTTCTCAAAAGGTTAGAAATAAAAAGTTAGAGAATCTTTGGCAGAGGAGAGGCTTTCAAGTGTCCAAAGAGAAGTACATCTGCAGAAACAGTAAACTTGTGTGTATATATCCAACAAATTGCCCTCAACTAGGGATGAGAGTAAAAGAAATAGAACAATTCAAGATCAGGTATGGAATAGAGAATACAAAGCTGCTTTCTGTGTGAAGGGCAAGAATATTACAAAGATAAGAGGAAGGGAAGTAGCATAATAATGGCAAAATAGCATGACCACAATGTGCTGGTTGTCCACTTTGGTAGGGAAAAAACACATCACTATTTGGATCAAATGAATAAAAAGGTGGACCTTTCTTCTTCAGGGGCACTTTTAGTCATGTACCTCACTTTTAGTGATAACTTAAACACGTCCTATGCAGTCATGTACCTCACTTTTAGTGATAACTTAAACACGTCCTACGCAGTCATGTACCTCACTTTTAGTGATAACTGAAACACGTCCTACGCAGTCATGTACCTCACTTTTAGTGATAACTGAAACACGTCCTACGCAGTCATGTACCTCACTTTTAGTGATAACTTAAACACGTCTATGTGATTTAGCTAAAGCATGAAGAAAAACTGGACTAATATCTAAAATACAATGTAAAACAGTCACCCAGCTAAAGATTGAAAAGCATAATATTTACTTCTAAATCTATTCTATCCTCATTTAATTAAACCATATAGAGAAATTAGACAATTACCTAGAATAAAATAGGCATACATGAAAAGCAGTTACCAAGCTAAAGACTGAGAAGCACAATAGCTATGAAATGTAAATAAATACAGATACATTACAAGCAAAGAATACAAATGAAACTGAGTAAATAAATTAAAGCAGAATGACAAAAAAAAAATGCAAAAAAATAATAATTAAAAACACATACATGCGATCTTCCATTATAGTGGAAAAATCAAATGAATAATACTCTTCAGGGTCCACAGTAGATAACAGATGGTATTTGTAGTACTTTTCTTCAGACATATTCTACATGATTTATGATTACACAGAGCAGATCGTAAGAGAAAACACTGTGAGAGCAGCTTCCCTTACATGTAGCTAAATAAGATTAAAGAAAAAAAAACAAGCAAAAAATATTATTACCTACAACTAAATATAACTTGATCTCTACAAATATTTATTACAGAGTATCATAGCAAGTTTCACACACGCACAAAACTAACAAACCAAACAGTTCATGCAAGTACAAAAGAGATTAACACAAACATAAATCACAAGCTGGTCTACCATTCTGTTCTGTTCCATTTATTGTGTTATAAAGTAAACATTCCTGAAAACATTGCAAAAATAAATGACTACAAATATAAACAGAATGTTACTTTTGGAGTTTAGGCTATTTTTACAGTTACTTGTTATGAAAATATTCGATTACCTGATAAATTGTTTATTTGAGGTGCATGTCTTAGTCATTCTACCTAAAAAAATATAAATCCAATACCAGAAAAACATTTAAACTTTATAATGGCTGGAGACGGAGAGGTTTTGTCATCATCAGGTTGTACATTTGCTGTTATATTAAAGTTTTTCTTCATTACCCATTCAAGCCGTCTCCAGCCATTATTAATCTCAAAGTGGGTTCCTCGTCACCGAATTTAAACTTTATATTAAAGTAACACCAAAATAATAAACTCTATTAGCTAACAGAACTTTTCATTAATATATTTGATTAGGTTTTTAAGACTTAAAATGTCCTAGTGTTTGCTTCTGTTGGCGTAAATAAACTTTTAATAATACATAATCAGTCTTTTTTTTTTCCTATTAATTACTACTATTTACTACAAGTTATACAACCTACAGTATCTTACGTAAGCCTAACATAGTTACACGTCACTAGCAGTAGTGCTAGTAGAATCAGCCTTTGCCTTACAACTTTTCAAGGCAAGCTCAACAGCTCTACACAGCACTCCAATGTATCTTAGACCGAAATTTACTTCTTAAGACTAGAAAAATGTTATAACATATTATCTTAGTCTTACAATTTATCTTCTTCAAGTTGACAATCATCATCATCATATTCGAGCATCATTTTACGGCACTAGCTCAGTTCAAGTTTTTTATCCTCTTAGGGTTAGATTGATGTTATCACTATTACTGAGTGTTAGTATTATCGATAACTAGAATTTAATTTACTTTTATAATTGTCAGTAACATTTGATTTTTGCAGAAGTGTTTCACTCTTTCCCCGTTTCCAGAAAAACAAATTGAAAGTACTCAAAATTTAAGTAAGATTATACCTTTGAATGAAAATATTTAATTTCAAGAAATATAATTAAATGTTGAAATATTAATCTATTCCTTTAAATAACCATGAAAGACTAATAATAAGATATTATTTTGTACGGTGTATTTGTATATTTTAGCACAAAGCTACACAGTAGATTATATGCGTTTACTCCGCCACGGGAAATCGAACCCCCCGATTTTAGTATTGTAGGACCATAAGTTTACCGCTGACATACTGAGGTACTGTACACTGTGAAAAATATAATTGGAATAAAAATTTGAAGTATATCCTGTTATTGTACTGTGTTCTATCGTTGGTCAGATTATTCTGTATTATAACATAACATAATGTTTAGGGTCAACGTGGGACCTATTGGTCCATCTCGGCTGTTCTGTCATCTAAACTAAAATAATTAAAATAGAAACTTAAAAATCTTAAAGCCAGCCCTTATCATCCATATACTTATCAAGCTTTTTCTTAAACTCACTTAAAATTACTACCTCTACAACATCCGAAGGTAACCCATTCCAAAGGCCAATCATCCTGTTAGAAAAATGAAACTGTCTTAGCTGAAGATGACTCCTACCTTGCCAAGATTTATATTTGTGTCCCCTAGTCCTACTATTCTCACTTTTGAATATGAAAAAAAAGATTCTGCATGAACACTATTAATTCCCTTCACAATATCAAACACCTCAATCAGATCCCCTTTAACTCTTCTTTTTTCAAGAGAATACAACATTAAGAGATTTCAGCCTCTCCTCGTATGACAAACCCTCCATCCCAGGCACCATTCTAGTAACCCTTCTTTAAACCATTTTCAACAATTCAATGTATTTCCTAAGGTAAGGAGCCCAAGACTGAACACAATATTCCAAAAGTGGCCTAACCAGTGACCTGTACAATGAAAGTATAACATCTTTAGACTTGTATTCAATACTTCTGTAGATACAATCTAAAATCCTATTTGCCCTACCACTAGCAACAGACACTGTTTGGATGGCTTTAGAGACTATTACACAAAGATCCCTTTCCTTCATTACACTATTAAGGTTATTCCCATTCAAATTATACTTATAATTCAAATTATGAAAACCCACTTGCATTTATTATAATTAAAAGCCATATGCCATTTGTTTGCCCAACTCACTAAATGATCGAAATCCTTTTGTAAATCAGCAGCATCCTCTTCACATCTCGCAACATCTAAGACCTTAATATCATCTGCAAATTTAAGTAATTTATTGACTACTCCTTTATCTATGTCAATGATGTAAATCAAAAAGAGCAAAAGTCCAAAGACTGAGCCCTGAGGTACCCCACTTGTGGCATTAATTCAGTTTGATTGAACTCCATTTGTAACAACCCTCTGCTTTCTTCCATCCAGCCACTCTTCCATCCAACTTGCTAACTTATCCCCACACCTATAGAGATCATTCTTTTACAAGCCTTTTATGTGGCACCTTGTCAAATGGTTTCTGAAAATCCAGATATACTAAATCTACATCCCTACCCCCATCTACATAAGCAGTAACTTTTCAAAGAATGTCAAAAGGTATGTAAGGCTGTGGTAAGTTTAAGGGCTTGCAATGATCAAAGCTGGGGTTCGATTCCCAATGGTGTACACAGCAGATAGCCCAATGTGTCTTTGCTCTAAAAGAAATAAACTTCTGGAATATATGGTAAAAAATAATGCCAAATCCAGTCGATGTATCGATATCGTTTGATACAGTACAGGTTAAGTTCAGTTGTAGACAAACTTTACAAATAACATCTTAAACTTATTTATAAAGTTACTTGTAGAATTTTCTCACTAATTGATCAAAACCAAACACTATGAATAACTCACAAACTAACTGAATCACATACGTACTGTATCTCTTACTGTTTAACTCCATCCATTCACTAAGACTTTTGGGTGGATTTCTTTTCCGAGGGTTTTGGTATGGAGATGACATGGCCTTTTGTTCCTTATCTTCACTTGCTATACTATCAATGGGGGAGTTCTCCTTAGATAGGTGATTGAATGAATCAGTTGGTGATTTTATCCTTGGTGATTCTCTCGAAGTTGTCTCAAAAGAAACCCTGGGCTATTCAGCAAGTTGATTTTCTGCTGATAAATTCATATCTGAAGTTATCCAGCTCATTGTTCTCTCACTAACGTTCTTCCAAAGATGGTCTTAATGGATGACCTTTAGCTTGTACTGCCTGTCCTTCTGGTTATTGTAAATCACATCATTGTTTCTTTCAGTAAAATGTATGGAACTTCCCAACACCTGCTAACTTTAGAGTTCGATCTTCTTCTCTTATAGAATTACGAGTTATTAACATTAACACCATAATGACTTTTCATTTTTTCGATAGCTGATTTAAGTATTCCCTGGGTAAATTTATGCATGATACCTATGTTGTTCCTTGAGTAATCCGTGTAAGACTTCACTGAATGGCTATCCTTAAGATGTGAGTACATACAGTCCAACGACACTTTAAGTACTTTCCAAAAAATTATTAATCATGGTGTGTTGCACCTAGCTTCGTGTACTACTCTCTTATAACTCATAAGCAACAGTAGAAAATTATGTCTCAACGTTTTCTGATGTTCGTTCACATAAATGACTAATTGATTGAAAATAACACGTTGTGTCTCTCTTCAAAGCCGTCAGAAGATGGATGAAGGGCTGTTTTCCTATAATTTTTATTCCAATAATCTGACACATTTCCGCAACAAAACAGCAAAAGTGATTAACAGTTCTGTCTCTGATCAGAGTGAAGTTCTATAGACAACCTTAATCTTGAAATGAACGCATTGATATGTTTCTGCTTCCTGATTAAAAATGGTACATGCTTTTTGGCCATTTGATGAAATAGTCTATTACAACTGTGATGTACTCATTCCCTCTGTTATTTTGTGGCAGAGAACCAAGCACGTCGACAGCAACTCTCTCAAGCGGTACTCAAACACGTACAGTACTGGTGCAGCTGCCTATACTGTTTCTTTTTTGGGACTTTTTCAATCACAGCATAATTCACATGATTTATACCAGTTCTCTACAACTATCCACGACTCAACCCAATAGAAACATTCCCTTAGTCTTTCCAGCGTATTTTTAGCATCTAAGTGCCCAGCTGTTGTAATGTTGTAGAGATTATTGTTTAAGACTCATAACGTAAATAAATTAATATGTAGAATTATAAACGGACTTTTCTCCAAGTTAAAATATGAAAAGAAATATGCATTTCTTCCTTACATACCAGGCCTTAGAGAAAACTTCGTAGGATAATGAATAAACTTAACACCACCGTAGTTTTCTTAAGTCCTCCTACACTACGCAACAGTCGTATAACTAGTCCTTTCAGTTCTTCTAGACTATTGTCAGGAGGAGCTGATGTTTCAATACTATTTGATCGGACGAACCAATATCTTCGAGATGGTGCCTTTAGCTGTTTATCTGTGACTTTGATGGATACAAGTTTCATTGCTAACTGGGGAGCTTCCTTTAAAGAGGTACACCTACTTTGCTTTACGCCAGTTCTCATATCCTTGTCTGCTATGGTTTTTATGAATTTGTCATGTGCTAATGAATCCATCATTTTACATGGAACACCTGTGTAGGATACCTGGGCAAGATGTAATTTCAAACAAAGAACCAAACATCAATAAACGCAAAACAAAGGAAGCCATTGTCATTGGGTAAAATAATTGTACTTTAAAACAACACCAAGAGTACCAAAATACCTTTATTAAGTTGTTAAGCAATCTCTGGTCAAGTAACCTCTTTATTCCCTACTGTATATATACATATGTTACGACAGCGGAAGTCGCGTGACGCTGGGAACATGGGTGCTGGAGTTTCTAGAATTATCGGGGAACCCCGCGAATCTCCGAGTGTTTGCTAGACGCCCTCTTTTTACTATATAAGCCTGACAAAGAAAGCCAGCGAT